CAAGCAAATGGACAAAATGGGCTCAGGGGGTGCAATATCAAAAATATGGTGTGAATAAGAAAATAACACAGGCCCAACCCACGTAGCATCTTCTTCAACCTTCAGCCAAAAATGTCTCAAAAACGCGCGCTTGTAACAGGGATTCAAACATCCTGATTCTTTGAGCTTTTGCACAAACTTTCAACACAAAAAATGTCAAGCATGGAATCACGATTTCAAACATATAAAGAACATCTCCTAACTCTCAGAAATGAGAGAGAATTTTAACAATCCCAAATCTTGACCTAAGTTTTCTGCCATTTTTAAACCTTAAATTCTCTCAACTCAGGCAAAAGAAATGAAAAGTAAAAGAATGTACATGTTCAGTGGCATGAATAGGACATTGTTTATTCACAAACTTAAGGCTAATGATGCATAATAAGAGAGATACGAGTTCACCAAGATACCTGTTCAGCTGAAGTTCTATCTTGCAATGGGGGAGCTTTCAGTGCAAGGTGATGATTGGAAAAGTTTCCTTGAGGTCCAGGGATGCTATTCCAATGTTTACTTTGTCTTGAAAGCTTCTGAATTGTGCTAGAGCACTTCACCTGCAAAACAAGAAACTAAAAATGGTGGAAGTGGTTAGAGGGATTACAGGTCGTGCTTCAGGTCATGGTTAGCTTGCATAGATGCTAGGGGATGTGTATGAACTGGTTTGGGCAAGAAAGCTTGAGAGAAATGGGAGATAGCACTCAAACTGCAGGCTTTGCTCTGTTTGTGCAGTTTGAGAGTGATTATGGCAATGAGAGTGTTTGAGAGGTGCAAGGGTCGTGCAAAAGCTTGGTTCTGATCCTTGGAATGTGTTTTCAATATTTGCTTAAAGGTTTCTTGACTGATATGAGAGATGTGTTATGTTATGGCACTTTTCTTCACTCTTAAGCAAACAAAGGCAACTTGGTGTTTTAGGTCAGTAGGGGACCTCTAATGAGCTGCATAAACCCTCCTTGATCAGAGTGATTTGTCCATAATCTTGTGCCCATTAGATCTTGCTTGTACTGCTTGGATTTGTAATTGGACATAAAGTGAACTTTTGCAAAAATGGATAGTTTGCTTTATCTATAAATGGATTAAACCTTCATGTAATGTTAGAATACAAAGAACATGGTCTTGGCACAAAGAATATGCATTAAATTTATGAGTGTAATTGAGATAAAAGGCCTGTAATCAAGGGGCATGCTGAGTTTTGAAAATGCATAATGTTATGAATCATGTTTTGGTCAAGAGCAAAAGTGAATTTTTGCCATATTGTGAAATTCGATTCTCTCAAGTTATGAGGTTGTTTGATGAGTTCTTGGACATTTTGGAAAGCTTGGAATGTGTACTACAATCCATCTTTGAAATGCAAATTGAAATTCCAAGTGGAAGTGTATGGAAAATGGCCTTGAAGTGGGGTAGAAAACCTTGTCAAAATAGGTTAAAATTTCTCTAAGTTAAAAATGGTTTAGTGCCCTTATTCAAGAATTTGTAACTTGAGATACAAGCCTCAAATGGGAAAACTTTGTGAATCAAAGTTGTAGATTATGAAACAAGCTACAACTTTCATGTTTGGACTTTTGTTTGAATCCAAATGGATCTTGGTGAAAAAGTGGGGCAAAGTTGGGAAAAAATTAGGGTTTTTCATAACTTAGAAAAATTCTAAGTTATGAAAAATTCTAATTTTTAACCCTAATTTGCATTTTGTGATTTCTTGGTGAACAAGTTTCATGATTTGGCATGTTTTGATGAAAAATGAATCTTGACTCTTGATTTTGACCAAAAAGTCAAAGTTTGACTTTTCAGTATACAGTCAAAATTGATCAATTGACTGGGAAATTCAACTGTCAATCTTGTGTACTTGGGATCTTTTGAGTTTGTTGAGCATGTCAAGATAATTCCATGGGGTCCTTGAGTCCATGTGTGAGCTTGGTTTGCCATTGGCTAGGTCAAACAGTCAAAAATTGCCTGTGTGCAGTCAAAACCCTAAAAATGACCATTTTGCCCTTTTGGTGATCTAATCAAATTTCTTGGGGAATTGTGATCCAAACTTGATCAAATGGTTCATATGAGTTCATAATGTTGATGTGGGTCAAATTTCATGAGGTTTGACTGTCAATTGGCCACAGTTGACTTTTTTCCCCAATACAGTTGATTTCTAGGTCAACTGTCCAATTGGCTGGGCAAAACTTGGAATCAAGACTTGAAACTTGATATGGGTAAACTTGGGAGTCCAATATGAAGCATGAAAGTCATCTTGGGCATTTTAGGTCAAAGCATCTTTGTGCAAACACAAACCCTAATTTGAGTCAACAGTGCAAGGAGAGGTCTTGAGCAGATGAAACCCTAACTGGATCTTGAGCTTCAAGGGCTTTGTGGTGAGAAAATGTTGATGAGAAGGGAGGGAAAATTTTGGGGTACAACAGCATGCATTCCCTTTTTAGTTTTAAGCCATGGACATAAGTTTTGACCACACCCATTAGATTAGACAACAAGAGTGGATACCGTAGAGTACTACGGGCGTGTGGGGTGCTAATATCTTCCCCTCGCGTATCAGACTCCCTTACCCGATCTCTCGGTCGAAAGACCGCGATTTCTCCCTTTTCAGGTTTTCTCGATGTTTATCTTTCCCTCTTGGCGGGATAAAAGACGTTCGGTGGCGACTTCATTGATGTTTCATTACACCAGATGACAGGTTCTGCCAGGTGTTTTCACAGTTCATGGAAGATCTCTTTCCCAGTTGAGTTTATTCCTTCGGGATTGCAAAACCCCCTGCAGGTCTCTAAGCAGAGTTCATTTCCTCAGCAGAGTATTGCTCCGTCGACCAGGTTTATTTCCCCAAAAAATAACGGTCTCCCCAGCTTGAGTCTGTTACTCAGATGGCCACGAGTTGCTGGCAAAATTCCTCTCCCCGGTAAAGTTGCCACTATCCCTAGAGAGTTGCTACTGAATCTAAAATTGGGCCAAATCTTCCCCGGACAAACCGGAAGGTTATCCATCTCTTCTATCCCCAATTAGGGTATAAATTTCCCAGAAGAACAAGGAACAATCAATGTTCTTAAACTCTTCTCTCAAACAGGAATTAACACTCTCCAACAGAGTTTCCTCAAGCAAAAAGCAAAAATCAATGTTCCCCAACGAAGTTTCCTCAAAGCAGGGGTCCCCAGCGGAAACAATCCCCAAAAGATTGAAGATACACATATTCTTCATCCCCAACAACTGTCAAGGATTTATTTTCCCCAGACAAAGATGTTGCTCAAATATACAAATTCACTTCAAAAACATGTCGCATTCATACATCATTTACCAAATGCCATAGCATATGCATACGAAACCCATATAGCACAGTCTCATTTATTTTGAGAACATTATTACGCAATGCATTTCATACATCATGACATCACATACAACTAAATCTTTATCTTTTCAAGAAAGATCAATCAATAAGCATCATCAACTACTTATATGACCTGACAGTCTTTTCAAAGACTACACCTGACGAAGGGCTATTTCAGCATTTTCCTCATAAGGTCATTCTCAATTAAAGACATCTGCTAGTTCAGTTTAAATCGACCAATAATTTATTTCGATGCTCTTCCAGTAGACATCTTTCTTTGGTTCAGTTTTAAATCGCCCAAAGATTTATTCTGATTCTTACAAGCGAGTTTGTTTTGCTAAGGGACAAATCTCACAAACATGCTTAGAATAATTTCTAGAAAATATTGCGATAGACTCGAGAGAGGGGCAATAGATGGATGTCCAAGACGTTGGTGCCAAAGGTCGGAAGATCGTGTTATGTGATAAACAAGGCGAGGGGTCTAAGTTGGTGTGAGGTAGTAAAGACCATTAAAATGCTTACCCAAACCAATTGTCCTCCTCGTATCCATGTCTTGCTGCATAACACAAAAATTTGGATAGAATGTTACTATACATTTCAATGCTTATGTCAATTTACTCACATATATCAAATTCACACAATTTAACATGTAGAACTTCGTCAAGAGGAAATTCTGATGACAATCAGATAGATCCAATGCTTTCAATAACAACTTTTTCTCCATTAGGTAGTTCAACAAAATCATGAGGTGCTTTATTTTTATTTTGAGTGGGTGAATGATGTTACACGTGATCTGTTGCTTCACTATCCACAATCCAATATAGTGTTGAATGTGCATCATATCCAATACTATTGCAGTTATATGTAAATTCACCTGATGCATTTGCAAGTGGTTGGTAATTACCACTTTTGTTGCGAAGCATAACCTTAATCTGCCGGTATTCCTCAGGTGTAAAGGCTGGTTTGTCATTTTCTGGTTCTCTCTTCACCTCAACATTATAGATTAATGCTTTCTTGTTTCTAGGTTTCACATTCTTTCCATGCAATTTGTGTCCCACCGGAAACCCTTTCAAATAATAGCATCGATCCAGTACGCGTCCTTGTTCACAGTGGGTGCATCACAAGTCTCTGCGGTCGAAGAAGGATTTTTCAGCCTATTGCGCTGGTGTACGAGCAATCTGCATAGCATGAGATGCCAATGGAATTTCCCCGTGCGTTGAAACCTCCATCTCCCTATCTTGTTGAAGGATTAATCCATGAACTTTTTAAGTGTCTGGAAGAGGACTCGTCATCAAAATTGACCCACGAACCTGTGAATAAGATTTGTTAAGCCCCATTAAAAACTGCATCACCTTATCTTTTTCTTCTCTAACAACAACATTCTTCAAGATGTCACAATAGCATGTAGTTGGTTCCTGATAGGATCCCAATTCATCCTAAAGACTCTTGAGTTTTGTGTAATAATCAGAGATCGAGATGGATCTTTGACGACATTCAGAAATTTCCTACCAAATTTGGTAGATTCTGGAGTCATCTCCTTGAGAGAATTTGTCATGTAGGTCACTTCAAACTGAGAAGATTACGCTGCGGGCTATGTCGGGTTCAATGGAGTGAAGATCCATGTCAGAAACAAATTGTTGCGACGCTGCCATTAAGGAAATCTCGAATCAGCCGCCAATGACACTTTCACGGTTCCATCGATTAAGCCAAGTTTGCTCTTGGCGCTGAGGCTGAGGCGCATTGAGCTACTCCATTCGCCGTAGTTATGTCCATCTAGAGGTTTGTTAACCAGTGTGATGGTTGGTGTGTTAGAATGGTGCATTATCAAAAGGATCAGGCAATGATGTTTCCATCCCCTTTGTAGCCTATGGTGTTTTTTTCTCTTACGATTTCTCTGGTATTTCAAGCGTATCATTGATGTTGTCAGCCATCTGATATTCTGGTTTTGGTTTTGTTGCGGAAGGGTTTAGGGTGGGCAGTCACCTGAATCGTGCTCTGATACCATAATGGAAAGGTTATTTGTATTGTTACATGGCAGAGGACAATGCTTAATGGTGATTTTATTTCCTTTAACACCAATGTTATAAGTCCAAAATTCATAATTTTAAGAACATCTTAAAATCTGAAGATTATTATATATAAGAGATTTTCAACAACTTTGATACACATAATGCACTGAGCAATTTATATAACTAAACCAACCCACCTTTTAATTAAACAAACAAACTACTTATAGATAGTTACAAACTTTTAAAACAAAATTACATGAATAAATTTACAACTCAACACACAGAAATAATTACATAATTTCATAATAGAATTAAAACACAACAACTAGAACATTTATTTCATCATTCAAGAAAAGGATAGTCAGTATAATAGAGAACTGGATCAAAAGTATAAAATGTTTCCTCATTATATTTGTTTAGAGGAGCATCAATTTCAAATCTCTTTGGCAAATCTGGATTAGATATGAACAAACGACCATATGCAACAAGGTCTGCCCTGTTTTCAACTATAGCATTGATCCCATCTTGTCTGTCATAACCTCCCACAACCATGAAAGTACCATTGAAAGCTTTTCTCATTGGCTCCAAGCTGTGAACACATTCTGTTTTTTCATCAACAATATCCATTCTTGGTTCCACCACATGACAATACAAAACACCATATTTATTAATAGCATCAACCATATAAAGCGCTAAACCTTTCGGATTCGACTCTCCACATTCTCCAAGTTCTGAAAATGGTGACAATTTTATTCCAACTCTTTCTCCACCTATCTCATTTACAACAGCTTCAACAACTTCCAAAACAAATCTACAACGATTCTCAAGAGATCCACCATATTCATCGGTTCTATCATTCACTTTATCTTTCATGAATTGCTCAAGTAGATAGCCATTAGCTCCCTGCATCTCAACCCCATCAAAACCTACAATTTGCAAAACATCAAACATCTAGTAAACAATATTTTTTATAGTTCAGTAAAAATTACCAGCTTCAATAGCATTTCTTGCAGCGAGTCTAAAATGATTGACAATATCAGGAATTTCTTCTCTTCTTAGTCTCCTCGGTTGTATGAATTGTGATATTACAGTACCATCATCTCCAATTTTTGGTGTGAGTATTTTATCAGTAGAAGATACTGGTGTTTTACCAGCTTCAATAGTATGGAAAATTAACATACAACACATTAAGTAAGTGTGCAAATTAGAAAAATCTATTAACAAAATGTCAATTTAATAAAATAAAATAAAACAAAAAAAACATACCAGAATCAAACATTCTTCCAACATGCCAAAGTTGACAAAAGAATGTAGCACCTTTGGCATGAACAGCATCTACAATAGGTTTCCACGCTTCTACTTGCTCTTTTGTCCATATACCTGGCGTGTTTGGATAGCCTTGAGCAGTTTCAGAAACACCGGTAGCTTCGGATATGAGAAGAGCTCCATTAGAGGCTCTTTGAGAGTAATAGAGTATAGTATGAGGTTGTGGAACGTTGTTGTAGGATCTAGATCTGGTCAACGGTGCTAAAACTACTCTGAAATTAAATTATAGGACAGAGTGAGTGAATGATTTTTAGCAAGTTGAATTCAGAAGCAAAGGAAATTAAAGGAATCATATGAAAATATATTATATAGTAATACCTATGAGAAAGATTAAATTTACCCATCTTGTAAGGAGTAAGAAGAGGAACGAGATCACTAGTCATTTCTATTGATCGTTATTTAATTAATTAAGAACATGTATTCTTCAGTGTGAAGATGAAACTCAATAGTATTTTGTTTTATGGTAAAATAAAAGTGGACTGTGGTGAGGGAATTTATGATTCTTGCTGACATTATCGTTTTTGATCCCGCAGTCAAGTTTGACTACTGCAATGTAACACCAATCTTCATCATTCATTCGTTCATCATAAATTTGGATCCTTGACACGACACAACAATATTAGAATCACAACGGCATCGACAAGATTAGGTTTGCATTTAGTTTAGTTATGAAAATTGTTTAATTTATTTATTTATTTGTAAAATTAATTTAAGTTGAATTCACTTTTTTTTTTTTTTATATACCGGGGTTAACCCAAGACATCTGATTAAGTTGGAAGAGACTCGTTTCATCTCATTCAAGTGCTCTTGGGTTAATTCACTTTTTTTTTATAAAAGGAAAATTAACTCATTTCATTAACAATCAACAATTCAATACAAGAAGGAATAAGATGAATGAAACTACGTCTAGACTAAGAATTGGTCGTCTTCGCTAACAAGTGATCAACCATATTCGCTTGACGTTTGATAAACTCTATCTCAAAGTTTGGAAAAGAAAGTAACAACGATCTAATGACTCTTATGATTAAGTTAAACTCTGAATTTCGAGTATGATTAGATCGCAAAGCTTGAACCACTATGAGAGAATCACTTTCGAAAATAACTCGATCAAGATGCAAAGTTATAGCTCCCTGAATAGTCTCTTTGAGGGCTAAGGCATCCGCTTCGACAATAGAGAGATTATCGACATCCCAAGCCACACCTACAGTAACAAAATTGCCCGAATTATCTCGAACACACCACCATCGATTCGAAGTTCCCAACTACTTATTGAAACCAGCATCCACATTATATTTGAGCCAACCCAAAGCAGGTGGAGTCCAAGATAACAAACTATGTTGTCGGTTATTGTTATCTGATTCTTGCTGGGCCGAAAACCATTCATGCCACTGATGAAAAGCAAGCTAATCAAACCTGGAAACCACCTCTTTTTCGTTATTCCAAACCATATCATTCCTATTCTTTCACGTGACCTCCATCATAACAGCAAATCTACCAGCTGTCCTCATACCCTCTTTGTTACATATATAAAAAATAGTTGACTTTACATCAAGTAAAACCAGTAATCTGTGACCGGTAATATGACTCAGGCCTGCTTCTCGCCAACAAAGATTCATTTCAGGATACCCAAAAAAGTTGTATCACAAAACGGGCAATTCTTCGCACAAGGGACATGATAATGACGAAGTCTCACCCTAGAAGGTAAACAATCCCTGCAAATTCTCCACATCATATTCTTAACTCTAGAAAGGGCTTTTATGTTCCACAGGTTGCTCAATTTTACCGCCATACCCGTATTTGAATCACTCGTCTTGGTCCTCTTCCATAACATGTATCCAAATCTCACATTATAACTACCATTTTCCTCTTCACTCCACACCATCCTATCTTTTGTAACTTCCTCTACCAACGGTACATGGACAATATCCTCCACGACTGCATAATCAAACAAATCACGTAATACTCTTATATTCCATTGTTTGACATTAGGTAACATGAGATTATTAACGTTAATATTAGACATACCTTGCTTCTGCGGTTCATTCAAGCATCCCTCTCGACTTCCTCGAAGCCAAAGTTCATTCATAACTTTAATTTGAACACCGTCTCATATACTCCACCTGCAACCTAGCGTTAGAATTTCTCTAGCCTTCCAAATACTCCTCCAAAAAAAGCTAGGATTATAACCAAGTTTCGCATCGAAACAATAGGTTCTAGAAAAATACCTTACTTTAAAAAATCGGGAGAATTGAGTCTTAGGATTAGACAAGATATTCCATCCCTGTTTAGCCACTGTTGTACCCCAAAATTTGCCCTCTTCATTTTAACCCTAATTGGCTTGTACTTCATCATCATATACATACATGTCATTGGGTCTATACTCATGGAATCGAGCCATTTCTCTATGAAAAGAATTGCGAAAGATGATTGTTCTGTCAAGCAACACTGTGAAGCAGAACTCGTAGTTTTCAGATTTTAATGCACTCTGCACATGTTCCAAGCTATTCAATCAGAAAACAATCAAGTTATCATCATATCAATCTCTTATGTGTCTTGGCATGCTTTGAATTGCGCAGAAAGTCAAGCGTTTCAATTGATTTGAGATAATGTAGACAAAAATTCAATATTTTGTGGATCAAGCTCAAAAATTCATAACTTGAAATCAGAAAATGGTTTGGAAATAATTCTTTAGTCATTAGAATCGTCTTGAGGTCTTCTTCATTTTATTTGTTCATGTCGAAGGCTAATTTTGTGAGGAAGATTTCAAAAGGGCAAAATACCTGAAATGTGTTATATAGTGGATTTACCGTTTCACTGGTTTTCATATGCTTAAAAATTTGTAACTTCTGACCGGAAGATCATCTTTGAGTGGTTCTTAGAGAATTTGAACCGTCTTATTATTTCCTTCAATTTTTGTGTTCGGCTCGGAAGCTAATTACTTGAGGAAAATCTCTGAATGAGAGAGTATTTAGAAGTTATACAGTGAAAAAATAGTGAAAATAGTGTGTTGAACCGTTGTTTTTCAGATGTTCAAAAATTCATAACTTTCGCCCGATTCTACTTTTTTAGATGTTTCTTTGGGAGAAAAATTTGTCTTGATTTCATCTTTGATTCGTATGTTCGGGTCAGGAGCTAATTCATTGCAGAAGTTTTTCGAAAGTGTAAATTACCAGAGGAAATTGCACTCTGAAATGGTTTTCTACTGTACTGTTTCTTGATATTGTAAAAATCGTAACTATCTCGATTTTTATCATATCAGGACGATTCTTGAAGTGTGAGATCAAATTTTTTATGAGCTACAACTTTGTTGTAGGTCACGAGTTTGGATTATGCTTCGAAGGTTTCGGTTTGTGGCTTGCTTCCCAAACTTTTCAAGACAGCAAAATAAGTTCACTATTTCTCTCCATTCGAGAAATCATTACTCGCTCTATTTTTATTGTATCGAGGTGATTATTTCGGCACGACACCATACATTTTGTTTCAGGTTGCATGTCAGGATTCCGCACCGAAAGTCATGAGTTTGTGGTTTGTTTGCGTGCCGTACACAAAATAAGTTGTAAAATTCTGCACTGTGAATTTTTACATTGAGTTTCTCGCTGTTCAGAGTGCCGTAACTTTCTCGATTTTTATCGTAACGATACAATTCTTTCGGCTCCGCATCACAAATTTCATCATCAACAACTTTGTTTCAAGTCGCGTACCAATATTTTGCACCGATTGTGATGAGCTTCAGGTTCGATCTCGCACTGTGCACGAAATAAGCCAAAAATTCAAGTTTAGAGCCAATAGTATAAATATTTGAAATTTAAAATTCAAAGACAATAACACTCATTATCACAAACTTCTCCTAATTTTATCTCAACTCTCTAAGATCAAACACAATTCTCTCAACCTTCCTCAAGAACTCAAGAACAAAAAATCAACAAATCTTCATCTTCCTCACTCCTCTCATAACCGCGAAACCTCCCTCCTCCTCCCTCAACCTCCGCATGCGAACAACCTCCGGCGAGCCACCACTGGTTCGATTTTGGCGCTTCCTCCCTCCGTCGCGCAAGCTTCGCACGGATACTCCCTCCGCCGATTTTCCTTTTAACATGTACATTATGATTTAATATTCATAAAGTACATGTTTGTGTTTAATTGTTCGATTGTTGACCATTGATATTGAGTTTGCTCTCTTTTAACATGGTTATTTGAGTGATTCCATGAATCAATACCATGCTTCCCTGGTTCGGTAAGTTGAGCAAAAGGCAGTATTTAATTGATGGTTAACGCTCAAGCGAATTTGTTTTGATACTTGGATGACACTTATATCAAGTTTTATTGATTTCGGATCGATATTTCATGCGGTTGATGTGTTAACGATAATGTTTCCCGAGAATGGTAAGTGGTGCTTGCACGGTGATTTAACTCATGGTTGTTGCTTATTTGAGCTTGTTGGCACGTTTGGTGGCTACTGGTACCATTTCAGATCAGTTTTATTCCGACTTTTCACACACTTTCATATGTAATAAGTTGATCCCCAAAGTTTACCTTTGTGGCTCCAATGCCCATTTAAATTCTATTTCTTCATGATGTGATCCCAAATTGAATTGTGAAGCAGATAATTAATTCCAATTTTGTTCCTTATTATTTCTAACATGTTTGTCAACTTGTGCAAGGCATTTCGAGAGAGCTTTCAATCGTTCAATTTTTTATTTATTCAATTGAAAAGCATTTGTATTCATCTTCAGTTGTGGATTTGTGGATTCGCTTCCGACGCAATTTACTTTGATTCTTATTTCATGAGATATATACACTGCTTGTGTTTTTGTCTGGATGTGAATTTTTGTGCAGATGTTCTGTATGAGGATGTATCTGACATGCGTTCTAATTGTGATTTATTGATGCTTTGACGCGTATTTTGACTATTTTGTTGTTGATGCTAGCTTGCGCGAAGTTTTTCGGATTTATTCTGCTTTTGCTTGCTTGCTACGAACTCTTGCTCCTTTGGCATTATACTGATTCCGGTTTATTTTTACGCATAATTTACCGTTTTCCTTACCATGAGAAGTAGGAATAGAGATGCATGACTGGGAGTCCATACTTTAGGTGGGAAATATGTTTAAAGTCCTCAAAGGAGGCGATGTTTGTTCTGTTCAAAGACCTCGAAATGAGGCAATATTTTTGTTTGCAAAAGACTCCAAAAGGGGAAATTTCTTATTGTTTGTTTAAAGACCTCAAACAGAGGCATTTTTTTTGCTAAAGTCCCCGAAGAAGGAATTTTCCCTCCCCTTTTACTTTGTGCTTTCTATCGAGTCAATAAGTGCAACAGAGGGTCCGCAATTGATCCCCGCGCTTTCTA